TGCTAGATATGTGCAATAGGTAAGAAACATGCTTGTTATTTTTATCTAGTCGATGCTATGGTGCTAGAGATGTGCAATAAGTACGACACATGTTTGTTCTTATCTAGCAAGGGCTATGGTACTAGACATATGTAATAAGTAAGACACATGCTTGTTCTTCCTAACTAGCAAGGGCTATGGTGCAATAAGTAAGGCACATGCTTGATCATCCTATTTAGTAGAGGTAATGGTGCTAGACATGTGTTAAGACACATTGCTTGTTATGCGTATCTAGCGAGGCTTATTGCTAGACATGTGCAACAAGTAAGGCACATGCTTTATCATCCTATCTAGCAGCGATTATGGTGCTAAACGTGTGTTAAGGCACATCACTTGTTACCCTATATAACAAAGGCTTTGGTGCTAGATGTGTGCTAAGGCACATCACTTATTCACCATTTCTAGCAAGGGCTGTGGTGCTGGGCATGTGTTGAGACACATAACTTGCTCACCCTATCCAACAAGGACTATGGTGCTAGACGTGTGCTAAAACACATTGCTTGTTGCCCTAGGTAGTGTTGGTCTTGACAGTACTTCATTGGTTGAGAAACCTTTGGCTTGAACCTTTTTATTAGATATTCAATTGAGATGAATATTTACAGTGAATCTTGAAATGGCACTCAATTGAGCTAATTCTGGGTTGGATTGCGATCCACCATTTGTGATACAATGAGATTTGCAATTAGATGGTGTTAAGCTTGTAAAAAAGACTTTTTGATGGAAATGGATGGATTGACTCTTGATTAGATCAAAGTTGGAGTTCTAAGAAACTTAGAAATTTGAATTTTTTTTGTGAAAAGGATCAACCCTCAAAGTAAAAAAGGTCGATCCCTACCATCTAGTAGTTAATTGGAAAGCTCTATGTCCTAGAAGGATTAACCCTTAGTACAGAAAGGTCGATCCCCAGAAGACAAACCTATAAGATATTTTTGTGAGTTAGGGATTGACCCGTATAAGCCAAAGGGTCAATCCCTCTATAATACACTTAAGTTGTGCATTCCTTTTAAATGCCTTTCAAGGGCCATTGGTTAGCACCTTTCCCCTAACTTCCAAGGAAGTTTGCACACATGTATAAACACATCTGATTGATGCAAAATGCATTATCATATATGATTGAATGAGATTTGGCTTTAACAGCAAAGTGCATGGTTGTAAATAAAGGCATCATTTTATTACCGAATTATGCTTAGCTTGTTCCTTAGACTATTCACTCACTGAGTTATACTTACATTTTTAAATCTCATGTTTTTGATTTTCGGATAAGTGATTAGCTTGGGTCGCCACTTGAGGAAGGATCCTCGAGTCTCGTTTGATAGGTATGCCTAGCGGTCGACTATGGAGCCTACTTGTCTCATGTTGCATTTCACTTACGAGTTTGCTTTTGAGTCATGTAATTATGAGTGTGGGTTAGCATTACTTTATTTTATAGCTAGGCATGGCAATGTACTTTGATGTATCTATCTACAAACAAGTATATAGGTATGTACGACATATGATATAATGTAATGGGTTGAAGGCTTACGTGAACACACGAGTGTGCAAATGGATGATGTTATGTTTGGTATATGTGAGAGCTGACTCGAGTTTAATGTCTATTAATAAATGAAAGTACATATATGAACCTTGTTGTTGAATTCGGTAGACTTTCGATGTATACTGGTGATGGATTACGTATAGGCATATTAAATGAGAAAGGCTTGTTTGGATCAAGGGGATCCTATCTTCTTAGTCATCGTGCCAGTCATGGCCTAAAATTGGGTTGTGACACTTAACATGTCTTGTTACGTGCCTTGTCACATCTTGTTGTATACTACATGGCAGAATATCATTACCTCGACAGAGAGCCATAAATCTTACATCGAAGAAAAGCTCCCAGAGGGGAGTCAAGGGAGGATGTCATGATCTTAGATGTGAACCTTAAATCCTACTCTAACTATGTACTAGAGTGATACTTGACATCTAATGGTTCACACCACCTTCAACTTGTGATACACCTTTTATGGGACAAAATCGTGAAGCCAGCGGGCTAAAGCAAACAATACCTCATAGGGGTTGGTGTGGACTGAGACACATATCATGTCTTGTTACGTGCCTTTTCACGTCTTGATATATACAACATGCCTTAGCATGTCATATTACGTGCCTTATCAGATCTTGTTAATACATATAAATTTGGCATATTACATGGTGCACCTTAATAATGTTATTTGCATCTGAAAGGTGTTATGAAATTGTTAATTGATTTTAAGGTAGCCTTTGGTTGGAGTAATTAGATTGACTATGGATATTAGTCTTTGTAATGATGTTGTGAATTAGTATGTTCTAAGTTTCACTTGAAATTGTTTAAGATATGGAATCTCAGTTTCTAAGGATAATTATATTTTGAACTATTCATATACGACTTGAAAGGTTTGGTTTTACTTGCATATGCATTTGTTTTGGTTTGATGCAAACTACATGGTCGAAAATAAAGTCATGGTGTTATTAAATACTTTATCATTTAACTTGTTCTCCTCATGCCATGTTCACTAAGTTCTTACTCACATTTTTAAATTCATGTTTTGGTTTTCAAATTTACAGCTAGGCAAATCATTGTTATTAGAGGATTCTCCTTCATTCTTGTGATAAGTATCGTTGAAAGGCATCCAGTAGGTGTCACCTTTATTTCATGTCTATTTCGCTATCCGTGGCTAGATATATTTTGTATATTTAAAGTATTGATGAACATTGTCTAGTAGTGAAGGTTTGGCTTGTTAAATTTCTATTTTGTAATAAAGGTGTTGGTAAACACCAAGATATAAATATCATCATTTGAATATATGATTACAAACATGATATGCACATGAGATGTGCTTTGAAATGTCAATATTGGATGTGTAACATTGTTGAGAAATATTATGAATTATTTGACTATGATAAGGTGTTAAATTATAAATGCACATGTGGACACATATATATTCACAAACATTGAGATGTTCACTCTCATTATGAGATTATGACATATGATCACGCGTGACTACTCATGAGGCTTGCTTGGATCAAGTGGGCTTTGCTCACTTGGTCCTTGCACTGGTCATGACTCGGGATTAGAACATGGCAATTCCATAAATCAATATTTTTCCCATTCCCCTCCACTAATCCCGTACCCTCATCTAAAAATTGTGATGAGCCATTCATTGAGTTTGGAGACTTCACAATGTTTCGCCACTCACCCAATATCCTCATTGTGTTCTCCATTATCGATATTAATTTCTCCCTACTCCTCATGTCTTCTCCACAAGCTTCCAGATTCTTTCTGCTATACCTAATCCATTTATTCAACACGACTCTTTTTTTAGATTCAAATCAATAATTCATAGTCTTTCAATATCCATATAAAGACATATAAAGCTCCAATCGACATAGTGTATCTTTATCCTTTCTATGGATCTGTCCCAAAGAAATCGGCTTTAGATTTTGTCCAAAACCTCTTTCACTCTTGTTGGTATTTGAAACATCCAT